ACACTAGTTACGAACTCTTAGTTCGATACTTAGTGCAAGCTGGGACTCTTAGTCTAAAGGATAGCTACCTACAAATAGTTGTTATGAAATAATAATTTTGTAATTTTGTAAATATTAATATTTTAACTCTGTATTTTATTTTTAAAGAACTGGTCAATTATCCCAGATACATTTGATACACCAATGAAATACATCACGTAATGTTTATGCAAGATTATATTCATAACAATGAAATGGATAGTACCGGTTGTTTGCAATCAGAATCTTCACTCAAAACCTCAATACAAACTCCTCGAGATATGAGCCTATCGATGTTGACGACTGACAAAGTCCAGCAGTAAGTTTTCCATTTTTACTTGCTATGTATTACTCAACTAATACAAAACATTCTAATTTGTCTTGCCGTAGAATTCCTCCAAATACTCCGAAATAAAGATTATTTACAATAAATATAATTGAAAAGTTTCGATGAAGATTTGCAAAATTCAGAGCTTAAAGAAGCTTTAAATATCATTGACTCAATTACTATTAGTGTAGGCGTTATAATTGGAAATGGCATATTTGTTTTAACAGGTAGTGTAATATAAACATTGGAAAGTACTGTACATTCACTCTGATTAAGTAAACCTTAATATGGTATAATTAGGTCCAGCTGTCATTCTATCTCTTTTATTGACTGTATTTACATCGATTTTTGTTGCGTTATCATATAAAATATCCTCGTTGTTTCCAATTTCAGGTTCATCAGATACATACACATACACAATTACTATATCCAATCAAAATCAAGATTTTGTGTACGAACATGAAACTCGAATTGAACCATCAACTTCGTTCCTAGTAAGTATTCGTTTCACTACGTTCTTAGTAAGGGAAGGAAATTTGCAAGCACTGATCGCTTACTCTAATTAATAACCAAGTTATCTCATATCGCAGTTGTCATCTTTAAGGTGGAAAGACGAATACAATATTACATTGTGATTTAGACACATAGACCCCTATCTATAATCCGTGATACTAATGCATCAAGAAGATCTAATTTCGGGGGCTAACTAAGTTCAATCAGTGCAACTTCAGGTGTTGCTACGTGCTACGTGCTACGTGTTATTAGATATAAAATTTTGTTTCTACATACGTACGTACTGTACGTTCTGTATTTCTTAAAAGTCTAACGCTAATTTACGGAAATACAGAATTGTCTGAGAAAATTTAAAATAACAGAGTTAAATGCAATTATTTAATATGAATTATTTTTACAGCATTCTTAATTTTATCATATTTAGCTCAGTATGTTGTTTTGTTATTTGTCAGAATATTCCTGATGGTAGAAGTCGGCATACTAGTTTATTAGTTGGTACTAAGATTTATTTCTTCGGCGGCTCACTTTTATATCCGTCTAAAAATGTATCTAATGAAGTTTGGTATCTTGACGTATCAAGTTCATTTAACATAACTACACCATCATGGCACAAGGATATTGGAATGCCATTAGGATATACTTACGGTAGTTCATGTCTGAGCCCTATTGATAATTTTACTATTTTTTTAATTGGTGGGAAAACATATACTCCATATACTGCAACTTACGTATATGTATCATCAGTATATGTATTTAATTCTAAGACTTCACAATGGACACCACAAACGATCAACAATTTTAATTCTAGCTTTGCAGAACGTGATGATATTCAAGCTGTTATTGATAATAGCGGAAAGATTTTTGTTTTAGGTGGAGAAAATCATAATAGTACTACAATTTTGTATAATGATATGAACATACTTGATATTACTACAATGACTTGGTCAACTCAATTTCAACTCGAATACACTTCTCATTTAGAGTACAATGCTATATTATTACTAAATGGTCTTATTATTTACATTGGGGGACGTCCATTATCTACAACTGCAGACTTAATTAGCATGAACCAGGCATGATTTAGTTAATAATACCTTTTGAATTTCAAATATTTAAAGCTTTTCCTTTATTTATACTAATTAACACCGAATGCAGATTCTAACATTTGATACAAAATCTTACACCTGGTCTACTAAAGTAATATATATAAATTAATTTTTATTCTTGTTAATTATCAAATCTAATTTTTTTTGTTCTTATTAGACTGCTAGTGGCTCTACTATCTTACCTCGTATTGGACATTCTACTGTTTTAAGTAAGTTAAATACTATCAGTGCAAGATTATAGATTTATATTTTTTATTAAACATTATTTACTTTTTAACAGTCCAAGACGGAAATATTATCCTATATGGTGGTGGAACGTTAAATAGTACTGCCTACACTATTGCTCAATTTTCAGATTTGGCGGTATTAAATACAAATACTTGGATATGGTCTATTCCAACCGTTTCTGGAACAAATACTCCACCACCACTCGTATATCATTCTGCTGCATTATACAAAAATTATATGATAATTGCATTTGGTAATTACCTTGTTATAATTATTTATTTGTGTAGACATTAAATTTATTAAATTTTGCTTAACCTTCACGTCTTCAGGTCAAACTACAAATTCGATATTCACTAATAATATTTATATTATGGACGTACGAAATTACACCTGGGTCACTTCAGCAAATCTAGATATACTTCCAACAACTACAACACCAAACCAACAGACAATTATTCAACAAAATAATGATAATTTACATATTGGAATTGGGATTGGTATTGGTGTGGGTGGGCTTATTTTAATTGGATTATTGGTTACAATTGGATTTTGGATTTATAAAAAACGATCTCAAGAATCTATTATAACATCGGAAGCGCCTATGAATGAAAATGTTCGTGAAGCACACTTATCTGTAGTTTATAAAGGTACACATAGTGCTTAAAATAATTATTATTCCGAATATTTTATAGTGAAGAAATTTATAGTAAACACAATATTATTAACATGACGATGCAATAATAGAAATATTAAATATTAGCTAGTTAACTTAATTAACTTAATCAAGTCGAACATTATAACTAGTTCTATATATTAGCAATGAATAGAGAGATGTGAATTCGATTGATATACACATATACTTATTATACAAGCTAATTGATTATTACAAATTTTCTTAAGCGCTAATACTGCAAGAATTATTTTACAGTGTCTAGAAAGCTGTCTAAAGCAAAATTAATGTTTTATAGGGTTTCCTTCGATTTATATTTTAAACATTTTGATAAAAAGAAGAGATAATAAATAAGCATAGATTAATTACATATAATTTTAGTTATTAAGCAAGTTTATTTAAATCTACAAGTTAAACTTATTAATAAAAAGTTTAAAATAAATTTGATGCAAAAAAGTTTTGCAAGAAGTAGAGATGAGATCCTTAAGTATCCGTTGCAGGTTTTAGTATCCATGAGTGAAATTGAATGAATATCTGCATATGGAATAGTAACCATCTAAAGTAGCTGCTTTAGATGGGTCGCTACTCCATATACAAATATTCAATGGATATGATATTATGTAAATTTAGCTATGCACAAGTTATATTATAAGTAAATATTCATCGAATATCCTCGACTATTTGCAAATTTTGCGTTACCGAATATTCGCATCGACCATTTTTTTGTACAACCGAAAATTCGCTTTTGATTGGATATTAATTTTTATCCGTGGATATTCACTCTACATAGGATCAGTTAAAGAACTGGCCTATTCTTATCATAATTAGTCAATAATGTGCAAAGACTTATATATGCTGGTGAAATTAAACTATTTCATCAGGTGAAATGGTGAAATTAAACTATTTCACTGGGTGAGATGGTGAAATTAAACTATTTTACCAAGTGAAATGGTGAAATAGTTTCACCAAAATTGCGGATTTGAATTGGTGAAACGGTAAAATGATGAAATGGATTAATATCTGACTGCTTTCATCCTCTATACTTAATTATGTCGCATCTGAAGTAGCGACTTATTTGAAGTAGCGCCTGGCTAAAATTAAGCCCCTGAAATTGGATCTTCATGCATGCATTAGATTTTAATTTTAGC